GGTTATTCGCACACCAATAAAAAAAAGAAAACTCTCATGTCTATAAATTATATGCGCGCTTCTGCTTGTTCATTTGTGGCCCTTATTCTTTAATTAAGTGGTGCGAGAATATCCGGCCAGTGGTTCATACAACGTGCAAATTCTATCCAGGCTCTGGCCACGTCTGAAACGATGGTGTCCTTCTTCATAGATTGACACTAAAGTGAAATAGAGAACCAGCTTAGACTAGCAAGTTTTATTCCAAGAAATCTAATGCGTTTGTTATCACATGAGAAAGTTGGTCAAAATTCTATTTCGAAAGTTTTGCGCCGAAATCTACGCGAGTGACATCATGCATTTTTAAATACATTTTTGATACTTTGGTGATAATATATAGCTCACATGATTTCCTGAGCCTTGCATGTTAAGTATATGGTACCCTAGGAAGATTATGTACGCGTCTTTTGCTCATTAAAAAATACAAAGGTCTTAGTCGACGTCATAAAAATATATAACCTCACGGCGTTTGGCGAGAGAATTTGAAAGTGGTGTCGTCACCCATTTCAATTTCGCGCGTATTCTCACTTGCCAAGCGTCTTCTTCGCGACAAGAGTGGTGATCTTGGAATTGGGAACTTGTGATAATTTAATAATGTAGGAAATACCGTTTTCTCTCTTTCTTTACATCCCTCTAAATTGCTCGTCAAATATATCGATTAAAATATCGCAGCAAAATTGATTAATGCATCAACTAAAGCCTCAGTAGACGAACTCTCAATCGTTAATCGAATAAAAGCTTTTTTCGATTAACAAATAATGACACCAATGTCAGTGTCACTTCCACCAGTGACACTGGCACTGGTGGAAGTGTCCCCCGTTTTATGGCCCACTTCGGAGGCGAGAACAGTACAGCCGTTGAGTTCAGCTTTTGATGTTCTAGGCCACGGACCCGGTGGCCGTGTGCTAGACGCATGGGTCTTCCACGAACTTGAAATCCCCTTGAGAAAGCTGTCCATGACGGACGTGACTTCATGTAAGATTTTAGTACTGTCACGCAAACAGTATAAACCAGAAATATTTCTTCAAGATTGTTAGACTGAACATAGTAACTGCAGTTTGCTCAGCACAGACGGGCTAAAAGCGCGGGAAAAGTGGAGGCAATCCAAGTACACTAAGTTATTGCGTGCTGCCACAGAACGCAGCTTTACAGATAGCTGAAAAAACACTGAAAGGGGGGGGGGGGGAAGAAGGCAACTTTTACTACTGCTACTACTGCTCTGGCCACTCGATGCATGTGCACACCGCATGCCACCTCGCTTAGTCCGAGGAATGTGCACTTGCTCAGAAACTGGGAAAAATGATAAGAACCTTAGTCATATAAAGCTGATTGACGATTGATATGTGGGGTTGACGAGCCGAAAGCACCATATGATTATGAGAGAAGCCGTAGCGGAGGGCTCCGAAAATTTCGACCACCTGGGGTTCTTTAACGTGCACCCAAATCTGAGCACACGGGCCTACAACGTTTCCGCCTCCATCGTAAATGCAGCCGCCGCACCCGGGATTCGAACCGGTGACGTACGGGTCAGCAGCCGAGTACCTTAGCTACTAGACCACCACTGCGGGGCATCAATATGAACTTACGCAAGTGTTAAGCGTGAAGCAATGGGGATTGGGGTTCACCCAGATAAGAAGCGCCGATCTGGACAGAATTGATAGGACAGACATACGTGTTTGTGGCACGCACTTCGCGAAAGGTATGCTTGTTGCACATGCACATTGTTTATTTGGGTGCACGATGTACAAACACAACGGGACAATTTATGTCTAAGCTAACTTGCGTTACGTTTGTAGAGAGGTCATCGAATCTGTGATCGGAACGAGCGACCGCGACAAGCTTGATCTGTTAAAGCAGACGTTCATTGCTCGACCCGACAAAAGTGCGAGGGAACTAAATTTTTTGTTGATAACTACGCGGCAAGTAATACGAAACTATTTCACGCGTTTCCGTTTTTTCTTCACGCAATAAATTGCCAAGCTTCCAAACTAAACAAACCAATAAATCGTGTCACACGAGACTTAAAAAAAAACTTGCGATGAAGTGATAGTAAATAGCCGAAATAATTGTGACACCAACGCCTCCTAAACAAATTGTGCCTGGAACGTGGGCCACAAACGCACTGCCTAACCCTCTCATTTTACCCTCTTGCTCCGGTACGAAGGCTAGCATCTCTGACGGCCACCGCCTGCGGACAGAGATATGTTCTCACAGTTGCCTCCGAGCAGCCGTAATGTCACTCGACTGAGCGGTACGGAGTCAAGCGGTCGCACGAGGCGGCCGTTCGCAACACATGGCAGGAGGCATGGCCTCCGAGATATAGTGCTGGCAGCTGGCTCCCAATTGAAAAGAGAGCGACGTTCCAGGCATCTAGGAGGCGTTGGTCACACTAAGTAACTTGTGCATTGATTAACCGTTATTTCACACTGAAAAATAACAAAAAACGACCTGCAACTTACCTGGCTAAGCAGAAGCACATTGTCATCTTGCAACTGCAGCCGGCAGTCCGTTGACCCAACCGCTTGTATAATAACTGTGTGCCTCGGTCGACTTGAACGCGCCACCATTTCCTCGAGGGTCAAATCACTAGCGGAAAAAACAAATTAATTGGCGATTTCCCCGTAAGAAATGTCCGGAAATATGTTCTCGTCGCTTGAAGTGGACGCGTTCCCAGTCCCAGCGTGAAAGGGCCGATGCTATCGCACATTCCCCGTAAGATGCGAACAATAAGTCGCTCTAAGGGCTTTTCACTGGAAGAGAGTCGGCATAACACGCGAAAAACACCCCAATCGCATGAAATCTCGCGGAAATAAGCACGGACCGCTCTACGCACCACGATGACGCCGCACGTACTGCACCAGCATGGCCGCGCCGCTGAGCGTGACGTCACGTGAAAGCCATGCCATTTTCTAGACGTGCTCAAGCGCCGCCTTCTTGGACTGATAACATTGCACTTTAGTATTCGTATCAAACAAACAGTGCTACGGTAAAATAGCACGCACGAAATTGCTTTGCCGACACATTTAACGTTTCATGACGACGCTCATTTTATATTGTGACATAGAAAATCTACAAAACAAACGCTTATCAGTGCAAGATGGCTTCGCGCCCATGAGTCGAACAAAAAATCGTGTTATCTGGTTGACTTAATCGCGGAGCCTCTTTTCCTTTTTTCGCGCCCACGCTCCCGTTCTAGCCCCAATGATCAGCGTCACCTGGTGCTGAGGGCAGTAAAAGGAGGCAGATCTCGAGGCATCTTGAAGTGAGGACTCCTTCACTTTTCCATGAGAGATGTTTATTACTTGGCTCCATGATATAGATCTATCGAAACTCGCAGGGGCTTTGGCTTATACCCACAAAGTGAAATTGAACAGGCGTTACAGTCAGAATAACTCTGGTTACAGTGCCAGCAGCAAAAGTATGCCGCTTCATTTCCGTACAATCTGCTTGTCACTTGGTATCGATATTGAAAACTATCACGTTTTTGAGAATAAGAAAGGGTGATAGTTCGCAGTAACTCCTTTTTATCATGAAGATTAAAGGAATTGCAAGTTGCCTTTTTATACAGCTCATCTCCGAGGACGTCTGCTTATTTGTCTTTTATGTGGCAGTGGCCGTATTTATTTAAATATGCCATCAATGTGTCTTCACCGACCCACACATCTTTGTTAGTTATTGTTGCACGCATCTTCTGTTTTCACTGTAATGTCACCCATTGCCATCATTATATGATTTTCTTTTATACGAGCTTTATATTCTTGTTTGTTTGTTTGCTTTCCTACAATGCCCGTGCCCACTTCAGGGAATCGACCAATAATGCGACGTTGAGAGACTAATTACAGTGTTACAGAGACTAATTACAGTGTCCTCTTGTACAATCCAGATTTCTCCTGCTCTTTCCAGTCATGTCTTGTATATTATTAATTGTTTCTATCAGTGTAGGTCTGGCTTGGTACCAAACAAGTGGTTGATAGTACCTGCTGTCACTTTGTTGATTGCGTAATTGTATATTTTTTTTATTTTGTCCCCGCTCATTGTTGCGGTTGCTTTGTGGACGTATTTGCGTATGTTCTCGCATTCTTTTATTTGTTCTGCCCGCTCCTGCCAAAGGCCTTTTTCAAAGGCTGGCAGTAAATCTGTAAATAAATAAATAAATAAATAATAAATGTTATTTTAAGAATTGTAGGTGGTTTTAAAAATAAATAAACGAAACACCAATAATACGCAATACACTAAATTTAAACTTCAAGTATTATGCTTTTGAGCGTTTATTCACTGCCGTATAAACCTTTACATCCTTTGTATGAACTTCTTTTACGTTTAATTGCCTCCTCGTGGTCACGCGCTTGCAGAAGAAGCTTGCGACCGCCATTCGTCGTTCACGTTTTTGCCACTCTGTCCGAGAGTGGCAACGGCCGACAATTCTCGCGACGACGACAGAGACAGACCCCACTAGCTATGGCTACCGACTCCGATGACGAAGTCTGGCCCACCAGAGTGCCTCGGAGGAGCGCGGCGCCACCCCCACCAGCCGGCGGTGACAGCCGGCCTACTACACCGTCGAGCCCGATTGCGGCCGTACGCGCGGGCCGTCTCCCGATGAGCGAGCCGTCTGAACGCCACGTCTGGCCTGCCAGTTTCATTGACCGGACCGGAATGGTCGGTTCCCCATCCACTCCTCCCGAATACTACGTTCCGCGAGCGACCACACCACGTGCTCCCACCAACCGGATAGCGCTCGCAGCGGCCTTGGAGTCGACTCGTGACCGGCAGCCGCTCCTCATGACTGACGCCTACACCGTACAGCTTCAGGACGGCACCGTGAGCCCCGTGCAGTACTGCATGATCGGCCTCCTTTTTGCCGGCCTGTGCGCCGCTGCGGCGTGGTCTGTGCGCCCTTAGGAAAGCACACGACCCCTCTTCGGGCAAAGGAGGAGCTGCAGCACCACGAAAAGCAGTCGCGGATGCCCGGCTACCATCCGCCCGTGGTGGACATCGCCCACGGGCAGAACGCTCCCGTCGGCCTATGCGTGGACGCCTGCGGTTTCCTCGCGAAAGCACGAATCTCGGTAGATGTGGCAGTCACTGCCGAGACCGCCTCCCGGCCACTACCAACTGCGGAGGTCGGTTGAGTGGCACTCTTTTGTAATAAGTTAATAAACGTCCGTGTGTACTTGTTTCCGGGGTGTTTTAATTATATATTCGAGGTCTATCCATCAGCAAGTACGTAACTTTAGCTGTTGCTAACCAGGGAAAATTTTTTAGCGTTCTTAACGAAGTGACTATTGTGCCAACTTCTTTGCCAGATGCCGCAGTACATTTTGCCCTAGTGGTGACACAGTAAGCAAAACTTATGGAGGCTTTAATTTATATTTACTACCTTGTAATAGAAGTTTCGTGCTACGTTCAGAGTTGCTTGTTGGACAAGTTGGTACAAACTTAGAAGGGCATGTGGGTAGACAGCCTTTTTTTTTGTCGGAGGTGGCAGGGGAGTGCAGTAGCGCAGTCGTGCCTTGGAGCGTTGGCGTAGCTTGCAGGCGTGATCGAATGCGAGCGCCACGCAAATTTAACTCCAAGGAGTGTCGTTCACGATGTCAGCGTCGCTGGAAGACTACACTGTAATAATGGTGGTTGTGGTTAGAAGAGGAAGAAGGCTCTTAATTTCTGCAGCCCAGTAGGGAGTAGGGAGCAGTCCAGTAGGGAGCCCAGTAGGTCAGCATCGTCACCTGGGGACCCTGTGCAGGGCTGTTTTGCTTCACAGGTCCCAACGTTCCTTGTTCCATCCTCAGGGTTGCGGTCAAGTAGCCGGCGGTTACTTTTATTTTATTAGATCTACGTCTTGTTCCGCAACTGTTTTAGTGCATTGATAAGTGTAACTTCTTATTTCATGTCTGTTTCTTCTCCGGGCCAGAGGCCTGCCCTCTGGTCAGCCTCTGTTCCCCCTCAAGATCTTCCCCTGGAGTTGTTTCTCCGCAATGGAACCCGTAGCGTTTCTGTCGCTTTGGTGCCGACCACCGGTGGGTTCATCCGCATGAAAAATCTCAAGACAATCCAAACGGAACTTCGTGCGATCCCTCCCCACTCTCTACTGATAACAGAGGTTCGTCAGTTTGGACACGGGGGGTACTATGCTGCTCACCAGACAAGGCTTGCATCCAAGACCTTCTGAAGTGCACTACTTTTGCATCACATCCGGTGAGCTTTTTTATCCCACCTCATCTAGCTTGCTGCAAAGGATTGGTTCGGGGGGTAGACGCAGGTCTAAGCCCAGCAGAAGTCTTGCACATCTTTTTCCCAGCAGGTGTTATTTCTGTTTACCGCTGTACCAAACAGGAAAACAAACAGAAAGTTCCCACTGAAACTGTAATTTCCACATTCGCTGGAACAGATCGCCCTTCGGCGATCAAGGCATGGCCGCTTATCTATAAGGTCGAAGCTTTAGCTCTCCATCCGTTGCAATGTGCTAAATGCTGGCGCTTTGGGCACAGTACTAAAGGTAGTCGATCGGAGACTCGATGCCGCATATGCGGGGCCATATACGGGGATGGTCATAGTACTGCTGAGTGCCAATCAGACAATAAGACATGCTGTTTGTGCAAGGCAAATCACGCTGCAGACGATCCTATCTTCCTTGCAAGATCAAAGGAACTTCAGGTGATTGAAATCATTGAAAAGAGACGATGCTCTCGTAGAGAAGCAATTGCAGAAATTCAAAGCAGGAATCAGGGTTATGCCGGCATAGCAGCTCGTCCACCTCTTTCTATGGATGCATCACTTTCTCAGTCCATTTCTGCTATGGTAGAAAAGGCCGTAGAAAAAGTATTAAAAATTTTTTTACTCAATCTGTCCGACTCACTCAATAATATTATAGATTCACAGATGTCGGGCACATCTGATCGAATAACTAAGCGTATCCACCCTCCTAGTGTCTCAATCAATAAACCTGCTGAACATCAGTCAGATGCCTTTATTGATAATGAGGCAACGCCTTCCAGCCTAACAGAAGTGAGCAGGAAGGCATATCTGATTCAGAATCAATAAGTAATCGGGATGTAGATATGGATGCTCGCCTTTTGAAACGCACCAGATCACCCACTAGCAAACTTAATAACTCTTCTCATCCAAAAAAAAGGTTGTGAAGGAACCTAAGACTAAAGCGGACTTCTTAAAAGACAGTATCTTAGATCAAGCAGTTGCTACTGCTTGCTTATCATCATAGGGTGCCTTAGAGTACTTCAGTGGAACAGCTGCTCAATTCTCTCTGCAACTACAGACTTATTATACCTAATTTCTCAAAAATCTCCAGACGTCATAATGTTACAAGAAACTTGGCTGTCGGCTCATCAAAACTTCTATCTAAAGAAACTATCAGTGCTTTCGACTGGACAGAGACTCACGTGGTGGAGGATTAATGTTTTTCATTTCTTGCAAAATTTGTCATAAAGCACACTTAGTTTACCAACAAATATCACACGATTATAAAGCATTGGTTCTGGAAATTCACTTTCCCGGATGCACGCCACTATCTATAGTCAACAACTACTTTCCGGCTGGAATACAAGATGAAAGAGCCCTTGACGTGACTGTGAGTTTTTGCAGAAACAGTATGCTATTTGCGGGAGACTTCGATTCCCATCACGTGTCATGGGGATTCCGCACTGATTCATCAGGAAAACGGTTGTGGGACTGGACTAATCGGAATAACCTTATTTGTTGGAATTCCAGAGTTCCGACATTCGTTCGATGTAATTCGAGGTCCGTCTTAGATTTGACATTTGCTAGCTCAAGTGTGACAATATCGTCTTGGACTGTTCTTGATACCGCTACAAGTAGTGATCACTGCCCCCTTGTATTTGAAGCCAGCATTCCGTTAGTGACGTCAGATGGGCAGGTGCAAAAGCTTTGTAAACTACTCTAAATTTAAAAAGAATTTACAGTCAATGCTGTCTTCCTTGCCCAATAATGAAGCAAATATGAAAGATATGAGCCTTTGTTCCACCATAAAGTGTACAATTAAAAAATCACAGTTCACTATATCTTCAACAAAGGGAAAATTCATATCTGCCTGGTGGAATGTGGATTGTGCCAGAGATTATAGACGCCGCAACGCTGCATGAAAAAAAAAACTCTTTACCAACCAATGTCCGACGAGAAATTATTTATTTGCTAAAGCTACCTTTAAGAGAACAGTTTCATTAGCGAAAGACGATTATGAAGAAAAACGGTATAGCTATCCTGATCCAAGAGCGGCAACAAGAAAGCTCTATTTAGATTTCTCAGTAATCGTAAAGCTATTACAGCACACGTAAGTATTGACTCAGTTATCTTTTCTCCAACTGAGTGAGATGATACATGAACTGAATTTGCATTAGGATTGGAGAAGAGATTTACATCACAAATAAAAATAAAGTGTGCAAAACCGTCATTCGGAAATGATTTTATTGAAGTAAGTAGGGATGGACTTGCGCACGTCGTTCGTATTCTGCCAAACACAGGTCCTGGACCAGATGGCGTCACTTCAGAAATGTTAAAAATATTATTCGACATCTCTCCTGAAGACCTCCTTAACGTTGTCAACTATTCACTTGAACATAGTTGGATACCTCCTGACTAGAGACTTGCAAAAATAATACCGCTTCTTAAAAAACGGGGACTAGGAATGCAGATAGATAACATTAGGCTAATCGCTTTAACATCACATGTAGTTAAGTTAATAGAAAGAATACTTTACATTAGAGTTACGAAGTTCATAACAGATAATGCGATACTCAGTGCGTGCAAGATTGGATTTAGACCAGGTTACTCTATATGGTGGGCGCATGTTGATTTAGAGGCTCGTATAAAGCTTGCTCGCCACAGACGACAAGATGCGGCCCTAGTAACCCTTGATTTAGCCAAGGCATATGACAATGTTGAACATCCTATTCTTATCAATGCCCTAAAAGAGCTTACCTTCCCGCAGTACATTACAAATTGGATATACGAATTTTTAAAAGACAGAAAATTTTATTGCTTCCAACGAGGTGTTTCCACATCGAAGTATAGCCAAACGAGAGGTGTTCCTCAAGGCTCTGTTCTATCGTCTGTGCTACTTAACGTTTTGTTAAGTTCAATACCACAGAGTGATAAGGTATAAGTATATGTATATGCAGATGATATCGCGTTCTTTGCATCTGACAGCGATATTTATTTACTACATTCGACTTTACATTGTCATTTGGCAACATTGGAAACCTGGTTTCAGAAAATTCATATGAACCTGAACGTAACTAAAAGTGCTATAATAGTTTTTCCATTGGACGTACCAGTTACTATTTCTCGTCAGTACCATCAAGAAGTAATTCCCCAGGTTAACTGTATTAAATATCTGGGTGTACTGTACGATCAAAAACTGAGCTGGCATGACCACCCTGAATATATTAAAATTAAGGCTACACGCACTGTTGGGATGATAGGTAGGCTTGGCCGCCTCCGTTCCAGTCTTCGCAGAGATACGCTGATCATGATTTATCGCTTGTACGTTCGTCCGATTCTTGAATTCAGATGTGTACTATTCTCTGGTGGACCAGCATACAAAATAAACCCCCTGATTCTCTTAGAGCGGGAAGCTCTACGTAGTTGTTTAGGTGTGCCAAAATTCACAGCTAACAATGTTTAGTATCAAGAACCTCGGATACCCACCCTTGCTTGCAGATTTCGTATTTTAACAGCCAAAACCTATTTAAAATTTTCTCGATCCACTTCAAGAAGGCGACAGTTTGTATTCCTTGCCGAGCCTGGTGTCTTTTTCAATGAGCATTGGTCCCGTGTATATAAACCCCAAGTGCTATTTGTTCAAACACTTCTAGATGCTTTAAATGCTAATATATTCGAGATCACATCATCTGTCAAACCAATCGGCCAAGTGCAAAAAAAAATTTGACGATATCTTCCCCATGAACGCTAAACACTTGCCCTCTAAATATTTGATTGGTTTATTAGAACAACACCTGTCTCAATTAGGTACTAATATAGTAATAGGATAGTTAAAATAGCGGAGTAGTTTTACAGAGATCTGTACAGTAGCCAGGACAACCACGACTTTAATACCATAAGAACTAGCAGTAACCCAGATGACACCCCA